TTTTTTTTTTTTTTTGAGGTACGGTCTCGCTCTGTCACCCAGGCCAGAGTGCAATGGCGAAATCATAGCTCACTGCAACCTCAAATTCCCAGGCTCAGGTGATCCTCCTGCCTCAGCCTCCCAGAAGTGTCAGGATTACAAGAGAGCTGCCGTGTCTGGCCCATAGTCTGGATTTTGATCATCATAGCCACATAGTGATATTTAATATGTTGCTCCATCTTCAATGAATCAATTAGGTCTAACGGGTTGATCCCATTTGAGTTCTGATCCCTAATGTGAAAATCCATCTTTCCCATGACCTGATACTTAACAGATTTATGTCAAGCATGCAGCATGTATACAAAACCATCTGATTATTTTTTGTTATAATTTAACACCATAAACACCTTATTTCTCATGAGGCTTTATTTTGAGCTCTTTGAAGGAAAGATGTTTGCAGATTCACAGTAACTGAACTTAGGCAGGTTTCTTATTAATAGAAACCTACCTCTGCTAACTAAAAGAAGAGATGATGTTCCCATATATCTTTAATTTCTGCAACTCAGAAAACCTAACTCTACCATGTCCTGCTACTTAACAGGTTTGTTCTTTTTAGAGACAAAATTTTCTCCTGTAGAAATTGAAGTCATACTGCTCGGGTTCAGGTCCCAGCTCCACTATATGTTTACTAGTTGTCTAAACTGGGAAGAGTCTCAGCAATGTTTTGTCTTGGTTTCTTTATCAGTAAAATGGAAATAATAATAGTATATACCTCATAAGATTGTTAGGATTAAATGAATAATTCATATTAAGTAATTAGAACAACGACTGTAGCACATAGTAGCACTTAAATGTTTGTTGTTTTCAGAGCACTTGATAAAATGTTTGGACAGCAATCATAATTACTGATTTTTATATTAGTTTAACTGAAAGCAACACAGGTACTTGTATGGTTACTATATGATAAGAACAATCACTCCAAATTTTGGATTTCATATGCTTTTAGGTATCATATTTTCTAATCCCCTCATTTTATGAAAGAGGAAACAGACCCAGAAAGGTGGAAAAACCAACCTAGGGTTGTGCAGAATCAGAGACAGGGTCTGGATTTGAACTCAGATTCCCAACTGATTTGGCCAGACTACTTGACACCACACTGAGAGCAACAGTTCATCTGAGCTGGTTCTTCTTAACAGGGAAATATGGTTCTTGTCGTAACACTCTGCTTAGTTTCCTTGTGTTCATTGAACTTGAGCCTTTATATTTTGTGAATTAAGTGTAGTACTAAAACTTGATGACATCTCTTTCTTCTAGGTTGCCAGCATACTTTGTGGTCCCCACCCCTCTTGCTGAAGAGGATGTGCAGCGCTTTCAGGGTCACGGCATACCAGTAAGTGCATCCGGAAACCCTAAGAGGCATGGGTTGCTCATTGGCCTGTCCTGACACAGTGATTCTGCTTGAAGCCCTTAGCTTTGGTACTGAAGAGTTTGTACTCAGTCCAAGAGTGATCCAAAAATATCTTAGGGACTCCCTAGAGGAGTCTCTTGGACATGACTGGAACAGAGTTCTAAAGTTTTCACAAATGCTCTTGAGTTTTTAGCAGAGATATTTAAAAATCTTTAAGAGGATCATAGATCTGTCTGGTGTTGAAAGAAAGCCTGGTTTGACACCTAAATCATTTTAAACCTGAGCTGAACCATGCTAATGGTAGTAGGATTGAAGATTCTTTTTGGTTCATACTATAAATCTTTGTACAGCATGGTTGTGTTTTCTCCCAGAGACAACATGGAGTGCTTCTTAGTTTTCAAGAATAGACTGGAATGAGAGTTATATTTAATGTGTCACTGATCAAAGAAAGCGACACTCTGGCAGTTACTCCAGTTTCTAATTGGTGGTTGCGAATTGCCAAGCCTGCAGGGTATTTAGTAAGGAATGAGAATTACAAATGAATGCTGTGCTGTGCACATGGCTGGTTCACCAAAAGGGTCACTCCCATATGGGTGGAGGGGAGGTTAAGAAGGGGTCACATGCCCAGAAGCCCATGGCGGCAAGGTGTAAGTAATGAGCGTGACCCTTGCAGTGAACCAGAGGCCCTCTGCCTGGTCTGGGGGACAGCTCTTCAGCACTAGCCAGTATGTGCCATGTGGGAATATGGGCCGGATATTGCCAGGTGTCCTGATTTTTCAGGAGAAGCCGGAGATTCAGATCTTTATATGTGTTTTCCTGATTTCTAAATATATGCAACTGATTCAGATGTTTAAAAAATATGCTTTTGGGCTGGAGTTGGCTCATGTTCCATCAATTTGCAACCTTTGATTTAGAGTAGCAGTTTTTGTTTTTTTTTTTTTTTGAGACAGTGTCTCACTCTTTTACCCGGGCTAGAGTGCCATGGCGTCAGCCTAGCTCACAGCAACCTCACACTCCTGGGCTCAAGCAATCCTTCTGCCTCAGCCTCCCAAGTAGCTGGGACTACAAGCATGTGCTGTCATGCCCAGCTAATTTTTCTATTTTTTTGTAGAGACAGGATCTCAAAACTCCTGACCTCAAGTGATCCTCCTGCCTCAGCCTCCCAGAATGCTAGGATTACAGGCATGAGCCACCGTTCCTGGCTGGTTCTGACTATTTTGAATGAAAAACTCTAAGAGAAAATTATCCGGGGAACTACCATTGTCAATATTCATCCTCACTAATTGGGGAAAACATGCAAATTTTTTAAAACCATGAGGCCCCACTTCAGCTTTGTAGTGTGAGCCTCTGAGGAAGGAGCTTAGAATCTAGTTTAAACAACTCCGTAGGCGTCTGCCATGAAAAAGTTGAGAAACAGTGGCCTATTTGTAAGTTACCATCTAGAGTGCTGCTTCTCACAGTTTAGTGGGCATCTAAAACACCTGGGGATTTCGTTAAAATGCAGAGTCTGATTCAGTAGGTGGGGTGAGGCCTGAGAGTCTGCTTTCCTTATAAGACTCCAAGTCATACTGCTGTATACTTTGAGTAGCAGGATCTTCAGGAACAACAGTTTTCATCCTGACTGAATACCTGGAGAGCTTTTAAGCTTCTGATTTAATAGTTCTGGGGTGGAGCCTGGGCATTGGTAGTTTTTTAATCATCTCACTTGATGTTAATGGGTAGACTGAATCTGTGAGCCATTGATCTGTGAAGTTTTTACTTCACTGAGTGCACCTGCAGAAGGGGAGCCTTACCACTCACCCACTCAAGCAGACAATGAGAAAATACTGCAAGCACTTCGTCACAGTTTTGATGGTTTGAGGCATCTTAGCTTTGACCAGTGGTTGCCAAACCTGGTTTTACATCACAGTCTTGTAGGAAGTTTTTTTTTCTTAACTACCTTTAAGGACTTTTTAAATTAAAACTTTCAAGCAGTATAAAAGAAAAGTAGATATGATGAATTCCCTTTTACCCATTGCCCAGACTCAGCAATTATTAACTCCTGGGTAATCCTGTTTTATACCTCCACCTACGGCCCCCTTCCTTGGGTTATTTTGAAATAAATCCCAGAGGTCATGACATTTTATTCATAAATATTTTAGTATATATCCCTAAGAATTAAAGATTAATTCCCTATAATTAATCCTTATTAAATAAATATATACAACCATAAAACCATGAATGTAACTGTAAAACCATTATCATACGATTTAAATTTCACAATAATTCTTTAATATCCAGTTAGGGTTCAAATTTTCCCCAGTGTTTTATCAATTGTTATAGCAGTTTCTTTTTTATCTGTTTTATTGTTAATGAAGACTTAATGAGATTGCTATTTTGCAGTTAGTTGATAGATTTCTTTTTTTTTTTTTTTGAGACATAGTCTCGCTCTGTTGCCTGGGCTGGAGTGCCGTGGCGTCAGCCTAGCTCCCAGCAACCTCAAACTCTTGGGCTCAAGCAATCCTTCTGCCTCAGCCTCCCAAGTAGCTGGGACTACA